ACCCTTCTTAGCCAAGCAAACCTCAGAAAACCCTTAAAATTGAGTTCCAGGAGTTTAGATACAATTGACCAGCAAGTTTAAAAAAAAAATCAGAGGTCATAAAACTAACAAAACAGATTCTTTGTGACAAAAGATACTAAATTATTAACAGGACCCAACCCTAAACCCTCACTGTAACCCTGACCCTAAATCTTAATCCTAACCCTAACCATAACCCTAATGCTCACCCCAGCCATAGCCTTAATTCTAACAACATTTTCTAATTTTTCAATACTAAGCATGTATTTTTTATAAAATAAAAAGTTTACGTTGAGTACAACTTTTCAGGCACTCATCACTGCCTGTTAAGTCTGTAGTAAGTGTGCGTCTTCTAAAATCTCTTCTCACAAAGAGCACCTCAGAAATTTGCCTGGGATCTATGCCGCTGACTTTGGATTTTTTAGTAGATACTGAGGCTGGCTCTTGCTCAGGCTGATCTCAAACTCCTGGCCTCAAGTGATTCTCCCGCCTCAGCCTTCCAAAGTGCTAGGACTACAAGCATGAGCCACTGTGCCCGGCCTCTTCTCATTTTCTGTCTGAAGCCAGTCTACCCACCAGGCCCCCGTAAGCCCACGGCTGTCTGAAACACAGCTGTCAGGCCAGGACCTGTGCGGATGGAGCTCCCTTTTCAATCCTGCTGCCAGACTGTGCAAACACTTTGCGAGCTGAAGGCTCAGCCAGTTGTTTTTGTCTACACCCATGTCAACCGAGTGCTTGAAGTCCTAAAGAATCCTGTTCAAATCTCAGCTGGAAGCTCAGGCATCATGTCAACCAGCCAGCTTCCCCAGCCTTTCCTTCTGGTGTGGGGCAGCAGGTGATGAAGATACCGGAGCAGCACCCTCCAGCTTTGCAGCTGGAGACAGAAATCAGCTGGGGATCTTGTTCTAGTGCAGATTCTGATTCAGTGGGTCTGGGGTGGGGTACTGCTCACAAGTGCCAGGTAGAGCAGATTTGGGGCCTTGGACCACACTCTGAGCCACCGGCACTAAAGAAATGATCTCACTCTTCATCAAGCTGCTCCAGAAGCCAAATCTAGAACTACTTGAAATTCTGTAGCCTTACAGCCTTTCCTTCAAAAAGTTTCCTCCCACTCCAAAGCTTGCTGGTTGGTCCCCACCCGACTGCTGTTAGTTTCTCCCCACAGTCCCGTAAAATGTCTCCAAATAAATAAGAGGCCAAAATGTAAAACAGAAAACTATAAACTATAAAACTCCTAGGAGTTTTCTTCTGTGCCATGCATTGTTATTTCCCCAGAATTTCCCATTGCTTTTTCTTTTGGGTTTGATATATTTCATATTGGTGACTTTCCTCAAATGCCTCGAGATGGCTGGCCATTCGTTGATATGCAGGCGATGTGCTAAAAATTTGATGGGTAAGTCATTATGCATGGGTGGGGCTTTTGACTGGTGAATATCACTGGACGGGCATCAGGCAGTAAACCAACTTTTTTCAGTTTTATCAGAGGAGGGTCTTCAGTCTTCTTCCTGGGGGACAGGCTTGTGGACATGTCTGGATGGGTCCCTCCATTCAGGACACAGATTTTAGCCTGTTGCTCTGACTGCAAACCTGTACAGCATGTTACTGTACTGAATACTGTGGGCAATTTTAACACCATGGTAAATATTGGTGTAACCACACATATCTAAAAGTATAGTAAAAACATGGTATAAATATAGAAAATGGAACACTTGGCACACTTATCGTGAATGGAGCTTGCAGGACTGGAAGTTGCTCTGGGTGAGTGGTTAGTGAAGGTCAGGGATATGACTGTGCATTTTTTACATGACTGGCATTGAAGTAGGCTTGTTTATATCAATTGCCACAAACACGTAAGTTGCACTACATTATGACATCTCTAGGTGATAGGAATTTTTCAGCTCCATTATAATCTTACGGGGCCACCAGCGTACATGCCGTCCATTTTTGACCAAAACATCACGCAGTGCAGGCTGTGTTCACTGCTGTGGGCACTCACCGCAGTAGCTCTCACCAACGTAAGTCTCACCATTCTTGGCTCTGCTCTGTCAACTGCCATCCTCTCATCTACCATTTTCATATGTTTCAATTCGAGATTACAGGTATTTGGTCTTTTTTCAAAGATTCAATTTGTCAAATGCCACCACAGTATCTGGCATTTAGTAGGCACATAAATGTTTTATGAGTTGAAGAATTTCTTAGATTCTACTGTAATTTGGGAGTCAGTCTTTTTCTGAGAATTTAATGCTCATGGTTGTGTAAAGGTGTAGCAGAGATGGCCAGCAGGAGGCAACTAGAGGAATTTGGGTGAGATGATTCTGGTTACTACTTCTAATCTGTTGGACCAGAGATAATTGCCCTCAGCACCAAACCTTTCAACCTTGGAATGCTTTTTCTTTTTTTTGAGACAGAGTCTCGCTCTGTTGCCCGGGCTAGAGTGCCGTAGCGTCAGCCTAGCTCACAGCAACCTCAAACTCCTGGGCTCAAGCAATCCTTCTGCCTCAGCCTCCCGAGTAGCTGGGACTA